ACACGGAGAAACAAAATTTCCCAGCATGCCTACTAACCAAACTACATTTTTCGCCATTAATCACCAAATATAGTTCGCTTTCTTTAGCTTCTCCACATTTTACAGCCTTATCAATAGTAAAAGTGAAGTTACCGTTTTAAAGATAGCAGTCATAAAGACTGATCTGCTGGCGAGAAAGCTGTCGAAAGCAAGTGCCGTCCAAAACCAAAACATCCGTTAAAGAAATAGTGCAACATTTTGGGCGACAAGTTTGCAGTAATTGCTTTCTTACTGAGAGATACTGCAGCTGGCTAAATCAATAGCACCCTCATGTCTGTGCATTAAATACAGAGCCTGAGCCAAGAGGCATTTAGCTTAGCAGGAAGAAACAGCAAGCCCAGCTCTCTCCAAAGTTAAATAATCTGTCTACTGGCACCTCTATCCCTCTCATTAATTAACGCGCTTTATCGTGTTTCGATAATCACGGAAAGAAAGAAACAATTTGTGGCTTTGTGGTAAACCCTGGAACTTTCCAGACCTGTCACAGATTTGTCATCACCAAGAGATTAAGCAATAACCACTGACTGCAGCGAAGCGCAGAGCCAAAGGAATTTTGTTCATTACGCCAAGTTAAGTCCATCTACAACCACAAGCTGTCATAATATTTGTTTTGAATGTTGTCTTAACTTTACTATGACTTAACATTATTTTTATTATTTTTATTACTATGGTGGAGTATTTTTCACCCTGTTAAGAAGCTGCTGTCACAGTTCTGGATGGGTGAGTCGGTGCTTTTCTTGATGGAGTTCACAGCTGCTCTGTCCTCTGGCAAGTTCAAGTCAAGCTTTGAACAAAGTGTCAGAGAGGGCAAGAAGGAAAAAAAAGATGGGATTGGATTGCAGTGGGTGACCGAGATCTTGGCCTTACAAATAATTGAAAGTTTTCTGGCTTTACTAGAACAATCACTCTTAACTTCAGATGACACTTCAAGGTGTGATATCTATTGGGAAACATGACCTCATGGTATTTCTTTCTTTTGACAGCTACAGAAAGCATGATTGGGGTGCACACTTAAAAAAACGCACACACACAAACATAAACAAAGAAAGAATTACAGATAGCTGTAGCTTCTTTTTAACGGTGTGACAGAAAAGCTGAAGGTGCAAGAGGTCCAACAAAATCTAAGTAATTCCAAAGATCAGTTGTTTTAATAAAAATACCTACGGGAGGTATCAGCATATAATAGTAAGCTGATTTCTAATACTGTTAAAGTTTAAACTCATTAGCTTCCACACACCTATCATTATATGTTTAGTCCAAAGAAGTCATCCAAAAAGCCTTATCAACTTCACCTTATCTGGTATTTTATATGTAAGCCCAAATCAACTGATGCACATTTCTATATGTCTGTAATGTACACAGCTACACTAAGGTTTCTATAGTATTACCACTATATAGTGAAGCACCAATTTTTATCTACAGTATAAGTTGGATGAGTATAGCCCAGCTAAAGACAGCTGACTCAATTTGTTTCAGTTTTATTTATATAGCGCCAAATCACAATAACAGCGAAGTAACGTCAAGACCCCACAATAGTATGAGAAAACCCCAACATTCAGATAAACCCGATGAGCAAGGTGACAGTGGGAAGCGAAAATTTACTTTTAACAGGAAGAAACCTCCAGCAGAACCAGGGTCAATCCCTCGCTGCAAAATAGTTGGGGGTGAGGATACTGTCTGCTGTGTCAGATGACACAGTGGACTTTAACACCTACAACCAACCATTTTCTTCTGTTCATTTAATTCAGAATCAAGGTGCAGTTGAAGCCTATCCTAGCGGTCAAAGGTTGAGTGGCGATGTACATCCTGAGCAGGTCAGCAGTCTGCCGCAGGGTTTTACCATTATTAACACCTCAGCTAAGTTGTATGTCTTTAGAAAGTAAAAAAAATCTATTCATACCTGAGAAAAAATGCAAACTCATATTGTGGATACACAGGGCAAATAAAAAGGTAATTCAAACCTCAAGTAAGATTGTGCCTGTGAAGGGCAGAAGAGATAGTCAGTCTGATTTTCCCAATGAGTCTGACTGGAAAGACTTCTTCATGAAGCTCAGTTATCTGAATTTTCTCCAACTTGTTACATGTTGTGTATTGATTTCAACTGAATGGGGCTGAGAACATGAATGAATTAAATGGATGCTCCATTCTCCTGCTCCTACCTTATAACCTTCTTTGGTAATCTCTAGCTTTCTTTTCTTGTTCTATTTCCATCTCAAATTCGTTAACTGTTCTAAGCTTCTTCCTAAGATTTTTTCAGTTGCTCCTGTTGCATTAGTTTAACGGTCTTCTCTAATTTTTCCATTTCAAACGTGTCAAGTGACTTTGCAGCTTCTTTTTCCCGTCTTGACGTCTCTTAAGATGCAGTAACTCTGCTCTTCTTTGATGCTGTGTCTTGAGGTCATTCGGCTGGGCGGCAATGTTTACTAAATGTCAGAGGCAGTCAAGCGCCTCCACAAGAACACAATCCGCCCTAAAAGCTGCTGCTGGCCACCTGTCCATCACATCATCGCCATCTCAGATCATTTGTTCTGAGGTTTAACCCTTTCACCGCTTTCCACAGTGACAGATCGCGGGCCAGTGATATGATTGGCTCTGATGGGTGTACACTAACTTCCTGGAGGTGAGGTGATTCTGTACTTGTGTCTCAGAATTTAAACTGCATTAAAAAAAAATGCAGTATTCAGACAGTATGACTTAGAATTTTGCCAGTATGTGCACCATTCCCTCTGTCCTTTAGATGCAACCCTGAGAAGATGTCTATCCTGGCACCTTTATTATCATAACAATACACAATACAATTACAGGCAAAAAACAGTGTTGATTCTTCAGAGATTTACATCACAATCTAATGTTAGGAAGTGGTTTACTAGCGATGCAATAATATAATAATAATGTACCGGATTTTTCAGACCATAACGCGCACCGGATTATAAGGCACACTATCAAGGAACGGGTCTGTTTTCATACATAAGGCACACCAGATTATAAGGTGCATTAATTGAAACAAAACAGTTAGATAAGTTAAACTTTACTCAACTCATACTTCTTGCTTTCTCCACTTCCGTACCATTGATTCATTAATGTTGAATTCTCTTGCAGCTGCTCTATTCCCATGTTGTTGCAGTATATTAATGATTAACCTCGTATTGTGGATTAATTATCTCAGTTGTTCTCCTGACTGAAGTTTGGTCCATTTACAGCATCCTTGTAGTTGTCCCTAACCATCGGGAACCCTCACGTTAACTTTTACCGAGTGGAAAAAGTTCATCCTCCAGCTTCACTGTGTTTGTTATGCTAACATAGCGGTGTCGCTAGCGATCACGTAGCACGTCATTATATACCAGCTAGCCCAACTTCAGTCACCCTACAAAAGTCACTGCTGTTTAGTTTTCTATCTTCATTTATGTTGGAAGTGATAGCAGAGCTGTACGTTTT